TAACTTCATAAAACAAGTTAATAACCTGTTAAATTTAAAGGACAGTCGGAAATTAACTGCCAATGCTCCCGAAATTTTTCATAAAGCTAGAAAAGTCGCTCCAAAAAAATATTGTAAAAAGACTATAAAATATTAAAAATAAATAAAATAAATAAATTAAATTACCTACCTAAAATTGTAAACTGTTTAAACATGGGTAATTTAGTTTTAAAAAATGTAGGGGTTTGTTTGTTCTTTTTTTTTAATACAAGTTTTTTGCTAAATTTTAAGGGGAAATATTAGGTTTTTAAATTAAAAAAAAAGTTTATAATTAAGGAGCTCGCGAACGGAGAACAAAACCCTATGAATCCCTCACTAATTAAATGTCAAAGTTAAAGGTTTGGTTAAAACCTTGATAATTCCATGTTTGGGGAAGAATTCGATAAATCTAAAAAATTGTTTTATTTTCCCCTTTAATAAAAGGGTTTTATTGTTGGTCTCGGTTTAAAAAATATTTTTTTACATATTGTAAAGAAATTTTTTTTTTGTTTTAATAATATTACTTATATTTTTATATTATAATTTTGCAGTTTACTGCCTTATTTCCGTTCCCAAAGGCAAGTTGATTGTAATTTTGTAAGCAAACTATGAAAAATCCAAATTGTATGTTTTTTAGTCTTACATACGTTTTTGCAACTTTTTGTTAATAAAATAAATATTAAATAATTTACAGATATTAAAAGTTTTTTTTATGTAATAATCTTTTATTGTATGTACTTTTATTATTAATATTTTTTAAGAGGTATATTTTATATATATTTTTGTAATACATAATAAAGAAATATTTCTAATTCAAATTACTTTAATTATACCCTTAACTATTTTTATTTTAATTTGTATATTTAAAATTAAATTTTTATATATAGACCAGAGTGGCCCAATTCTGTAAAAAAAGGTATAATTTGTTTGATTATATTATTTATTGTATTATAACTATAAAAATGATAAAATGCAAATTGTCGTTTTATGATATTTAATTATTGTTGATTGTGTAAAATATTTAGTTATTTAGTTAAGGTTATTTCGAAATCTACGTTTTTTTGACAGAATTTGGTAACGCTGACAATCTCAAATAATAAAATAAATTTTTAAAATTTAAATATACGCGGTCGCTTTTGGCAACGCTGCATTTTAGTTCCTCCATAACCGTATGAGGGCGCTTCATTGCATCAAAATTATACCGTCAGATGTTTGTCTATTTGGTTTGGTCTAGGGGGTAGTGCTAGCAGGGCCATATTACCCATTAGGCAGGCAAGGCAATTGCCTTAGGCGCCACGTAGAAATAGGCGCCTTGTCCCCAGGCAACTTAAAAAAAAATAAAAAATTTTACCAAAATGTTTGTTTTTTCCAAAAATAAAACAAATAAACAATATACAATTGTAAAAACAAAAAATTATTTACTGTTTTTATTATTTTATAAAAATGTAGCTTCCTTTGTAATAACGAGGTGTAAAGCCGACAAAAAAGCGTGCCGCAAATTCACTTCTGTTTTTATGCCAAATACATAAATGTATTTCATATAAAATTAATCAGGTGTTATATCACCATGCTTGATTACGAGGGCACTGCGTTTTGAAGTAGAATAAGATATTTTATTATTAACTGTATAATTAACAAATAATAATAAATCTTAACGTTAAACTGCAAACAAAAACTTAAAAGATTTAATTTAATTTGTAAACTTTACCCTGTATAAACATATCTTTAGCACTCTTTAAACTATTTCAAAACCCCCGTATGCTCCAAGCACACGGATTCCTCTTGCATTGGGTACCCGCTGTGATGTGCTGCTCACCCCAGCGGCAGTGGCGGCGATAAGAATTCGGGGGCCCCCCCGCCAAAATTTTCTCGGACATGTGGTAATAAAATCTGGAAATACTGGAATTTTATCTAAGATGCTAAATTGTAAGAAAAAATCTCGGATAGATTTTGTTTTAAGTTTTTCTACCCACCTGGAAAATATTCTGTATTATGGCGGAGTTCAAGAAAAACTGGGCTTGTCTCACATTTTATTTTATAAATGGGATATCATTTCATAATATATTTATATTACAAAATATTTTCCAAAGAAAAATGATAATAAAAAATTTGTGTCTGAGTCTATACGCTGATTGTTAAGAAATATATTTCTTAACAATTAGCAATATTTTGCCATGAATAATAGAAATACTATAATTTGCTAATTGCCTTAAGTATAAAATCTTACCATCGCTAAAATCTGTCTGGTGCTAGTGAAGCTATTAGTGGATAGATCGAGGAATAGAAAGTTTAAGGGAGCACTGTTAAATTGCCAAAACGGCGATGTTTTTGTTTTAAAAATATATCTACCAACTGTCCCAAATCAAGTTTACGCGCACGTTTATGTTCAATACTTATTACACCCAAAGCACTAAGTCGCTCCTTGCACATTGTACTATAGTACTATAGTAACATTTTCAAAGTTGAAGTTGATAAAAACATATTTACGTATACGTAAATATGTTTTTATCAACTTCAACTTTGAAAATGTTCTTTCGGCAGAAGCAGATGTTACCGGTAATGTCAAAAAAAGTTGAAACAACGAACAAACATCCGGAAGACTGCTCAAAATGCATCTGTTTTCTGATATAAAATATGTGGCTAATTCATATATTGTTTTCTTTTTTCGAATTTCATTTGAAAATACACTTTGAAAGTTTATTAATTGCGTAGATAAATTATTCGAGAAGTCATTTTCGTATTTTTCCAATATTTTTTCGACATGATCTATAATTTCTCTGGTAGATAATTTAACGAAACCATCTGGATTTAAAAATAAAAAATAGCTCATTACTTTGTTCATACTGATAAATCGTGTTCTGAGTTGATTAATTATTATATCAAGAGATTCGTAGAAGACTTTAATTTGAAATCTTCTTAGAGAATCTTCTATTCCAGTGTCAGTTGCAAGTTCATCAAAGAATGTCTTGACCATTCTTTGGCGCTTAGATTTCAATTTTGGCTGAATGTTCCACGATGTCGCCAAATTCGTTGCTTCCGCATGCAATATTTCGAAATCGTCTCTAATAGTATTAAAATTATCTATTGTGGAGCTCAATAATTCGCATGCTCGTCCCAGATCAACGGTAGAACTTTGTAGCAGCTTGGACACTAAACTAATATTTTCCAAAATTTTGCTTTGGTATACAAGAAGCAAAATAAAATCATAACTACTCATACTTTTTTGCAAGGAGTTTGCTTCTATTCTGTCGGATGTTTTTTTGCAAATTAAAATAAAAGTTGATAAACATTGCATCACGCATTTATAGTTATATTTTATAGCACTCAGACAATCAAAACGAGACGACCATCTTGTAGGGCATAATCTTTTTAATGTTTTTTTAATCATTGCGTTTTCTTCTTTGGATTTGTTGAGTTCTTGCCAGCGAGGTAAACTTTTACTAAAAAACAAATATATATTCTCTAATAATCCGTAGAAATTTCTAATTTCGCTAACATTTTGCACTGAATCATTCAACACCAGGTTTAAATTGTGTGCGGAGCAGTGAATAAAATCAGCAGTTGGTACTTTTTCTTTAATTCTTGCCTGAAGTCCAGAATATTTCCCGCTCATGTTAGAAGCCCCGTCATATCCTTGACCTCGGCATTTTCCTATATCAATTTTCAGTTCTTTTAATGTACTTAAAATAACGCATTCAAAATTTTTGGCGCTTTGGTCGCCTATTTCTATAAACCCAAGGAATGATTCTTTTATTTCGATTTTGCCTGCAATAGATTTATCATGATCTAGGTCAACTTTAACGTGACGAATAATTATACTTAATTGATCCTTCTTTGAGATATTTTGGGTTGTATCGACGATTAGGGAGAAAAAGGGGGCTTTAGAAATTTCACTAACTATTTCTTCTACCACCGATTTTGACATTAATGTTATGATTTCATTTTGCGTATCATGGTGTAAGTATTTATTTCGATTATTTTTATTTGTTATATGCGACTTTAACAAAGGATCATATCGCGACAAAAAATCGATAATATTCAAAAAGTTACCAGATTGAGGCCCTATTTCATAAATATTCTCGTGATGTCCCCGAAAAGGTAAACTACAAATTGCTAAGGTTCGCGTAGTATCAAAAATTCTAATCAAAACTTCTTTAATGGTTTCTTGTGATCCTTGAATTAATTTGTCTACAGTTTTGTTTTTTACCCAAGACGTGTATGTAATACATGCGTGAAAATGAGTGGCGCTCTCTTCATGTTTTTTAATTTTTTTACTCAGACCTTTCCAATCACTAATAGTGCCATCAGACCATGCATGTGATTGCTCCCTATCAGAAAATAGCCAACAAGGCTGGCAGTATACTGCATTTAAAATCTCAGAATAGCATAACCAAAATCTATCAATTTTCTGTCCAGTTTTAGTGGTTGTGTAGTAATATTCAACACTAAATGACCTGTTTGTATGTATATTCCTAACAAAAGGTCCCATAGGTCTATTTGGGCCTGAAATTATAATTTTGCGCTTCATTTCATCAGTCAACACATCTTGAAACAGCGCCCTATCTGTATTAAATGGATTTAACTCATTACATTCGACGATGGTCGTTTCTTGAGCTTTTAAATTTAATTTAGTTACTCCATAGTCTTCAACATTTGCGACATCAGAGTTGAATTTTGAAGTTGAAGCCTGATCCGGATTAGTGCCTCCCTCGCTGTCTCCAGTAATAACTTTTTGTGAAATATTCTCTTCTCTAATATCATCTTTTTTATCTTCATTTTCCTGATTTATCCTTGTTTCACCTATGGCTTTAAAAAAACCATCGATCTTGGGCAATTTACCAATTGCTTCCAGTTTTTCTGTCTTTTGTTTTCGTTTTTTAGCACCACTGAGGTATTGTCTAGCTTTATCAGTCATTATTTCTTTTACTAAAATAAGATAAACCTCAAAAAAACAAAGATCACACGAAGACACACAAAAAATTATGTGCGTACCGCGTACGTAAGTAATTAAAAAAAGAAAAACGCGATAACCCGGAACTCACGACAGTATATTGCAACTAAACTGATTTTTATTTTATAGGCGCGTTTTTCCTTTGCATTACCGAATTTATTTTCAAATAAGCCGTCAAAAGAAACTAGCGCGTCGGCAGGGTTCTTTGTACTTTATCGGGTCGGCGAATAAAAAACAAACACATTTTTTTGCTGACGGTGTCCGAGCGTGAACTTTTGGTAAAATATATCTATGATTGATTCATATAGTTTTATTTTGGAATAAGATTATTTTTAATTTCAGGCACCTCTTTTCTTTTCTTGTTATCAATTTTTTATTTTTTTTATTATTTATTTAAAGCAATTAGGAATTTTAGCAAGGAGGTCAAAGGGGCCCTTCTGGAGCTGGGGCCCCCCCGCATGGCGGGCCCTGCGGGCCCCTTATCGCCGCCACTGCCCAGCGGGTACGCGACACTAGAGAAAACTGCTGCCGGAAGGACTTGGGTGTTTTCGCGTTTATTCAAGAGTGGCACTTCTATGTGTTGCGTGTATGGTGATAGCAGTCTGTGTTCGATAGTTAAGGTTGATTTAGCCTGGCTGTTAAATTAAATTACGTTACGTTAGATTACGTTACACAAAATGCTGGCTAAATCCACATTTAGATAGTGTTAATTTTTCTGTTTGTTTTAAGGTATTTCTGAAATTTTAATATTAAACTATAGTTTAATTATAATTACAATAAACCAGCAGTACATCTAACATACAAATACAGAAAATTAAAGTTGAATTAATTTTTTTTAAATACTTACTAATGACATCTTGCAGAAAAACGCACTTATAAGTCCTAACACTTTTTATTTACATTATATTTGTTATGGTTGTATGTTATTTATGTTTTATATTTATTTTTTAATGATAAAAAGTATTCTAATTCATAGGGAATAATTAGGTTATAATGCTCGGGCGCCCTTAAGCTAACAGTTTGGGGTGGCTCTAATAAGCTTTTTTAAAATTTGCCCCGGGCCCCGTAAGTATAGTATCTAGTTAGAGGAGCCAAATTTTTAAGTGCCTAAGGCGCTCATTTGCCTTAAGCCGGCTCTGAGTGCTAGTGTAGAGCCACAACCTGTTGAGGAAGCGACTTTTGGAACAGGCAAGGGAGAGGAAAAATTGGGAGAAAATCCTGAACGGTAAGTTTAATTAAAATTATGTTATTTTGGTAAAAAAAATATTTTTTTTAAACTTTTTTACATGGGGTAATGTGGTGTTTTGTTTGAGTTAGCGCGTTCTTATTTTTCAAAAAATATTTTTAAAGAGATTTTGGCATCTTTTCTAGCGCATTAAGGTTCCTGTGGCTTTGCAACACTAGGCGGTCAAATCTATTTTGGCCAATTTTTTTTTCGTCCCTTTTTGACGCTTTGCCTGGCAAACTTTGCCACCTTTTTAATAAATGCTGATTTAATTAGTTATGGCAACATTTGTAAAACTCGCTTTTTTTTTAAATCTGTACCCGGATCCAAACTGTAAACAGTTTGGCTCCGGGTATATTAATATATTAAGTCAACTTTTTTCAAAAGTGACATTTTACATGTTTTTCCCTACAATTTTTTTATCTATACAATGGTAAACAGGATTTTGCAGGAAGTGCTGGCTTACTCAGTTTTTTGATATATTAAAAACTAATTAATTCAGGACTATTTACCATTGGAGAGAGCAAAACAATGAAGGCAAAAATTGTGTAACGTGATTTTAAAAAATCCTTAAATATCTATGTAGGCTTTAGACAAAAAAAAAATCTTAAATCATAAAAAAAGAAAATCTAAAATATTAAAATCATACAGTCTCGGCCAAATCTGCATGGGTGCACGTCATCAACGGCATAGGACGTCAGCGTTAAGGTCTATTCATACGTGCCCAGGCACAATCTAACGCTCGTGTATTGTTGACTGTTAATAGCGGTGGGGGCTGTTTATTAAGACGGAATTATAACATGATTGTAATAAACTTCTACACTAACTAATTAGAAGTTTGTTTTGAACAAGTTTTGATTAAATGTGTTTAGAGAGGAAACAAACGGAGTTTATTACATATGTACATAATAATATTTAACGGTGCGCGACAGCCTTAAGCTATCCCAAGCAGCATTTTAAGTAAAATGGTAGAGCTTTGAGGCAATATTACTTAATTTAAGTAAATATTTTGTTAATTTAACCTAAAAAATTTACTTTGAAGTAAAACTATTTTTATTTAATAAGTTTTATTTATGTTATTTTTACCTATTTTAATAACCCTTAAGTTTCAACACTTTAAAGTATTATGAGGAACGTAATTTTTACGAAAGAAAATTACTTATAAGTGGATTTCACCTAAAGGAAAATTTAACGGTAATTTTAACGTCAGAATTTTTACTTAATGGTAAATGTTACTCATAAGTCATAATTTTACGTTATTAAGACCACTTTATAACCGTAAATAATTCCTATTTGCCTGGTATTTTTTAGGGTTATTAGTTGTAATAAATACTATTAATATTGACCAAACAAGGAAAATTAAGCTTAACGTGAAAAATAAAACTTTAAGGGATAATTTTTTTCAGGTCGCCATAATATTTTTTCATAAATATTTTTCTAAAATATAATACCTAAGGAAAGTTTTAGTTATAATAAATTAAAAAATGATTAAAACTAAATGATTTTTAAATGATTTTATAAAATTTTGTAGGTTTTAAGTTTTGTTGAATTTTTACCCAAGCAATAATTTTTCTTAAAACCGTAAAATATTTAGAGGGCATATTATTTTTATCAATAAAATAATGTGCGTTTTTAATGCAAAATATTATTATAATAATAAACTATAGTTTTGAAAAATTAAGTTATATTTTTTAATTTTATTCTAGGGTGGCCTTTATTACTTTGTAAGTACCATTTTGTAAAATATAAATTAAAAGAACCAAGAAATTACGAATGCCAATGTTTTAGAAAGAGAGAGCAAACAGTAATTATAGCGTTATTTTTACGTAAATTTGTGGTATTTATATTGTTTTTATTACGTTATTCTCTTAGTATATTATGTAGGTAAAATATCGAAGTAAACCATTCCCCAAATTTTGGTAATTTTTCGTATCTACACTACTCAAAAAAGTCTAGGGATATTATGATTAAGTGAAATTAAAAACTTCTTTATTAATTTTTTTATTTTATTTTGTAATTGTTTTCAATTAAAAAGTCCTAACAATATAAAATAAATCAAAATTTAGGTGGTAACAATTTTTATTCTTCGCAAATAAAAATTACAAACTTGATTAATAAAATTTATTATAAATGAATTAACAAAATCAATACGAAAAAAATAAAAGCTTGTGTTCTTAGTACCGAGTGTGACCTCCTCTACTGTTTGCAACTGCTCTACATCTACGAGGCATACTTAGGATTAAATTATCTAGCTCATTTTGAGGTAATCTGGTCCATACGTCTTGAAGGCAATTAAAGAGCTGCTCTTGGTTCTCAAAGTAATCATTAACCCTTAGAACGCCTCTCTGTAGCATATCCCAGACATGCTCAATCGGGTTAAGGTCTGGCGACTGAGCAGGCCACGGTAAAACAGGGATTTGGTTAGTTCGAAGGAAATTTCTAACAACGTTTGCGGTATGTGGGCGTGCATTATCATGCATTAAACAAAATTCGGGCTCTGCATTTTGTGCGAATGGAATAACGACAGGACGGAGTATCAAATCCATATATGCGACTGAATTTAATGTTCCTTCTAATCGAACGAGATCTGTTCTTCCGCCTAATGTTATTCCGCCCCAAACCATAATTGTTCCACCTTGAAATGTATGAACCTCTTGAACATTACGAAGACGGTTTTCGGCTCCTGGTTGTCTCCAGACTCGTATTCTTCTTGAATCCGGGTAAATTCCAAATCTAGACTCATCTGTAAATAAGATATGACTCCACTGTTCATCTGTCCATGCAAGATGTTCTCTAGCCCAGATATCCCGTGCTCTGCGATTGCCCCTGGTTAGTGGTGGAACTCTCAAAGGTCGTCTACTCCAAAGATTAATCTCATGTAGGCGATTTCTTATGGTTTGACCGGAAATGGTTAGATTGTGGGTCTGCTGTAAATTTCGTACCAGTTGTGTAGCGGTCAAATTTGAGTTTCTTCTTGCTTGTAGTTGTACAAACCGGTCTTGCGCTGGGGTAGTTATTCTTCCACGGCCTGGGTGTCTTTCACTTACACTCCCTGTCTCACAATATCTACTCCAAAGGCGACTAACAACACTTTGAGAGGTGCCTATAGTATCTGCTACTAGCACTTGGTTTTGGCCGGCTTCGAGCATTCCAACAGCGCGTAACCGCTGTTCTTCGGTCAAATGAACTCTTTGCATAGTGAATATACCAAGCACACTTTAAATACTGTCTTTAAAATGAAAAACGTAAAATTATTTCCTTATGCAAAAAGTAGTGTTTTGCAAAACATCGACATGTTTTTTGTTTGGTTAATAAAAAAAATTATTAATGTTGTAAAAGTACACAGTAACAAACAATGAATTTATAATTTAATAAAATGTATTTATACTGTGCGTCTTTTTTTAACTTATATATAATTATTTAGAATATCCCTAGACTCTTTTGAGTAGTGTATCTAGTAGTTAATTTGTAGTTATTTAAAATGCTGCTTGGAATTAGCAACTGGCACACACAAAAATTACTAAGTGAATGGTTTTGATTTCATAATTTCGTAAAAAAACGTTTTAAAACGGAAATTTTTACAGTTCTTGGTAAACAGTAAATACATGATTGATATTTTTTTATGAAACATCGGAATTACGCCTTAAAAAAAGCAAATTTAACGGCAGTAACTATTGTGAGAAAAAATAATAATACTCTTTTCGTTTAAATTAAAGTCTATTTACTATTAAAAATATAAAGAGATTAATATAATTATATAACAAATTAATAGAGAACGTGTGTCGAGTAAAGGGTGAACTCTGACTGCCTTTAAGAATGTTCC